ATTGCACAAAGCCGTTAGTTCCATTGTTCTACGTCTTATTGTTGCTGATAAAAAATAGGAAAGAGACTTGGAACTTTAAACGAAACACAGTTTGGGCGGTAGAGCGCGAGCTTAGTTCTGTGCATTATGGAATAAAAACAATTTGCGGTTTTAATGTAAGCCATTGCAGAATTCCAGCATATAAACTTTTCAGTACCTAATAAAAGTAATAACTGCCACGCAGCAGTAATACGAAAGCTCATTAGCGATATAACTTTAAAAACCGCTTAAGGGGTCTGTCTGCTTGTCGCGAAACGTGTCTTGAATTTGAAATACACGTCCACTGGAAATAAATTGCAATTAGTGTTAAGTTGCCACGCGACGTGAATGAGAAGCGGCTTTGTTGTTAATTACGATAAGATTAATTTATCCAACATAAAAAATAATGTTAACTCACCACCGTCGCCAAAGCTGCCCTTGTTTTTCTTTTGCGCGATTTAATTTATGAATTGAATTAGTGAAATAAAACGTTTACTCTGAAAGGAAAATAATTGGGGCATGTTAAATACCTACACGAATACACCAGAATGTGGCACTATGCTCACGAATTGACATATTAAGTATAGGTAAAAGTTAAGTTTCGGCGATCATTTATCCTGTAGGGAAATTTGCCAATTCGCGTTAAGTATAAATATTCCAGTATGAGGGCGAAACTTAGAAGGGCTAAATTGCTTTGGGGTAATGCTCACAAACAGAATTTCCTGTTTCCCTGAAGAAGTTGCATAAATAAAATGGAGGGTTAAGCGAACGCATCAGAAATTCTTTTAGTAGTCTCTACGCATATTTTAGCTTGTACTTACGGGTTTCAACGCAGATACCTTTATTTTTATTTCTAACTTAGATTGTGTGAAAAGAAGGGAGTAGAATTGAAACCCCTCTTCCTCCTAACAACAACAACAAATTTTATTTTATTTAAATATCTATGATCGATCCTTCTTTGATTTGTTTAGAAACAAAATAAGAGAAATGTTTACGTAGGAGCTTCGATATACTGATCTTTTCTTTGGCGCATTTTCCCAAGAAAGGATACCTAGTGGAAGTAGTTACCTTTGGACCCTTTGCTCACCTTAAGATTTTTCGCTACATTCATCTGGAATCCATCTGCAATTTCTTTATTTTTTAGAAAAGTTGTATTTGCTGTTCTTCCCGTTTAAAATGCACGTATAACACAGAAGCTTAAAATTCAATTCGAAAATGTTTTGTCTTTTACAAGAAACGACCAAATAATCGGACGGCACATTGTAAAAGGTAACGTTATATAGGTACTCTTTGGGAAACATAACATTTGTTCTAATAACATCGTAGTGGTTTCACTACTAAATTAATTTAAACGTCAGTAATCAGGATCCCCATGATGAGATGCGACAAATAAGCACCCTGTATAATTTCCTTTTAGACCGTTCTCCCAAAATCTACTAAAATAAAATCCATCGTAAACATGTAAGAAGTGCGGAAGAAAGTATTTTCTTCGCTTCTGCAAGTTTAAACTAATTGAGAAAGTGAGAAATGTTTTGCATTCAAAATGGTTTAAGTGGTGCTTTTAAGAATTCTGCTTTTGCACGCGTAAACATTACTCTTCACTTCTTTACAGCCTTCCCTTTTTCCGAAAGTAATTTAATTTTGGAAGCGTAATATGGTAATTCTTTTCTTGGTCGCTCTTGTGTAGTTTTCCTTTATTGCAAACCATCAGATAATTTCTGTGAAGTTCCATTTAGTTGTTACATAGTTTGGATACACAACATTTCATAATTAACGTATGCAATTGGATTTGAACGTTTTGGGATATATATACGACTGTATGTAATACCGTGCGGTCACTACGCCACCCACAAAACACCTAATGTCCAGCTAGCTCAACACAAATTAATTGAAACTTAGAATTTTATAATCAATACTGATTTAAAACTTTTCAATTTGGGTTTTTCATCGCAGAATTCTGAGGTTTGCCTCAGAATTTGGATATTATATTTCCCAAATTCAAATTTTTGAGTTTGACGCCAATACGTCGTCGTAATTTTGGTCTTTATTATTTACTTTTCTCATTAAAAATTATTCAATCCAAAATCAACCCCTCATCTTCATACTGTGAACTAGTAGTTGTAATAAGCCCAATCCCAATAATTCCAGTACCACGGTATTGGCTTATAAATACTGACCGGGGGTGGTGAGGTAACCACTTCGGTTTCGGATCCATCTTTGAATCTACTTGCCAACCCGGGATATTCGGCCCCTGAGAAATAACCCGAACGCTGCCCGCCTGTTAGGCTTAAAATCGCAAATAGAATAATGGTCGCCACCTAAAATATAGTTTTTTTTAATGCAAATTAGGAATAAGGTAACGTACCTTTTGCATTGTCAATCACACAGATGTTGATGATCTTAATGTGAACTAAATGGGGAAACTTGATGAACCGTAATGTAGTTGTTGTCATTAGGTAGAATTCACATTAATAATCTGGTTGAATTTGTCGAATTAAATAATTTTCCAGTAGTCTAATTTCCCAAGCGACTTTCAAGCGGTTTATTTCTTTCATTCAATTTGTTTTCCATTACGTTAGACACATAGAGAAAATGCCGATCTTTTGAATTACATTATACTACCGGGCAACTACCCGTGTAGGGTCGGAAAAGAATAACCCTACCGCAGACGACACTGCCTGTCGTACGAGGCGACTAAACAACTGCAAATCGGTCGGCCACATGCGGAATGGCCTGGTAGGTTTTGATTTGGAGTGAAAGTGTATTTCACATATTTATAAGGTTTGAAGTTTAAATGCCCTATAGATGATGTTTAGGACAACACAATCGAACAGTTCTTTTGAGTTACCTCTCTGGAGCTTGACATAGTAACGTTTGCCGACCTCTTACACTTACCTTGCTGGCATTCTCTTCCAAAATTTTTATTAAACGAAGCTAAGTGTAGGGCAGAAAACGATGGGGGTACATTGTTAGTCTACCGCAATAGAATTTAGATCGGACAATAAACGCATTTATAGAATAATTGCTTTCGAAATTTATAATTTATGTGTCAAAGTTTCAAAATCAAATCACCAAAAGTTTTATTATCCTCTATCGGTAAACCACAACTTGTGTAAGCGCCCATTGTCCCTGGCCTCTAGATCATGGTGCACAAAGGAAAGTTTCGAAGTTTTATGATATTTAAGCTGTATAGGAAAGTGGAGCGAGTAGGATGTGTATTTATTATTCTACGCTGACAAGAGGCGTAAAACTGCGGTAAGGTATTTGTAAATAGCTTCATGGGGCCAAACTCAAACTACGCAGCTTAGCGCAAATACATTTTTACATTTCACATTAATTCTTTTTATAAAGGAGCTGGTCAGACTTTCGCTGATCATTTTGAGTTTCTATAATAAATGCACTATATGGATTCTAACAGAGCGATCGATAAAAACCACTAATTTTAATTCATACTTTCGGTGAACCATTTGAGTATTTCAATACTACTCCCTCAACCTCTAAGTTGGCAGTGATAATTAGAAGTGGTTTCATTAGGTCTCGCTATTTGTTATGGTTTGAAGGGGGACTTCCAAAAGGAGCCCCTAATTGGTCAGTTGGAGCGCCAGCTACCGCTTTAGATTCGCGTAACATGTCGAAAAGAGAAAAAAATATCTATCAAATGAGCCTAATGGAAAGATGCACTGCCATTTAAAAAATTCAATTGTTTTTCGTTACTAATTTGTTTTCTGAAATAAAAACAACTGAATGCTGCCTTATTATAGAAAATAAAATGTTAAGCAACTTTCATATATAATAATTTTGTCTACATTTGATATTTACCGAGATACCTATATACTATATTCCATACATAATGGGCGGCACCCTGTATTTAATATAATGTAATATAATATAATATAATATAATTTGTTTCAAATGCTTATTCAACTAACGCGCGTAACTTATTACAGGCTAAAATCGCTTAGTTGGTTCTGGGAAAAAAATAATAACATTCGACAAACTAATTAAGTACCAATGTAAAAATACTGAAAAACAGAAATAATTCACTTTTTTCCAAAAACTCAGTTTCAATCTACCTTACGTATACGTTAAAAGCATGCCTTTTTCTAACCCCCCAGATTGGGTGCGCTATTGCAGGATAAGGGCTTTTTTTAAAATTGAATAGTCAAAGATCCGTTCTTTCTCTTCGTGAAGTTGGAGGTACCAACTGAAAATTTTGAATATCTCCCTTATACGGCTTGATTACAAAATTTGATCATACGGCCAAAATTGGCACAAAATGATCACAAAATTATTGCGTGTCTATGGCTTTATGTGGCACCTCCAACTTTACGGGCCTCCATCCTTATATCTTTATATGTGTTGGGGTTGTATTGTATCTAGGAGAATTAAAAAACGAAACGCAAATAAATTGCGGAACATTTTGAGGATTGATTCCCTATACAGAATTGATTCCCACAAGTATTTGGTCCAGAGGGAACTTCCCCCCTCTTCAGCCGAGCATGTCCAGATTCCTAACGTCGAAATTGTTCGTATCGCGGATCCGCGAACGCGAAAAAGGGAATTTAAGGGTTTCTGCTTATTGTTGTAAAGGATTTCTACGATAAGAGATGTTTTGTACAGTTTTCGTTCACATTTTCAATTCTGGCGAGTTTGTGTAAATCACTTCTCTTGATTAGAGCGGCTCTATTCAATAAAATGAGGATAAACTGTCTTTTACAATTATTATAAAGTTCAAAGGGTGAAAAATTCAAGTGGAAACCGGGAAAAATTGTCTAGCAAACTTTAAAATTAATCGACTACTTCTCTCAAGCGGAATTGGTTGTCAAAACTTTTCATCGCACTTTATAATACAACAATGCTTCAGAAATATTCAATACAGTATCCGACGATTGTTAGATTTTCTCATATTGAATGAAACATTAATAAGAAACAAAAGGATGCTCTGAAAACTTCAAAGAATTCATAAGTTGTAGCTTCAACCCTTTAAATATTTTCATTTTTCCCAGCTCATAATCATTACCGGCAATTATTTATTAGGTATGTAATTGGTGATACATTGTTTAACTAATTCAGCAATATTTCGTATCCCAATAGCACCAGTAAGGCGTCGGTCTGTAGACACTATGGGGCGCCGCCGCCGGTTCAAAGTCAACCATAAAATCCTCTTTAAACCTACTCGCTAATTCGGGATAACCAACCGGTCCCGTAGCTGGTAAGTACCCAGGTCGTTGGGCGTAAACAATTAAAATTACGCACAGCATAAAAAATGTCTAAAAATTTCGTGTTAGTTGATATGAATTATTGTATAGTAAGTATACTTACCGAGGCTAACTTCATTTTAGAACTGAAATTATGTCACTAATTCGTAAATTAAGTCTATTTATTAATGAAAATTTAATAGTCATGGGCTAAATTTGGAAATTTATCGCGGTTTAATTATTGTGGGAGGATTTCTGACCGAGATCGATCTACTGAAATAATCACGATGTTTCCAATTGTAAAACGTGTTACCCACCAGTTTAATTACTATGGTAATTAACTCATACTAGTAAATAAGAAGTTTGCAGCGCATTCTTTCCGTAGTCCTTTCATCAAATCGACGTGAAACCGGGCTAAAAGTTTGCCTTCCTTAGTAAAAAAATTATCAAAGTCCTCGTATGAGATCGAAGGGACTTCAGCGCATTTTTGTGTGGCAGATCAGTGTTTTATTAGCCAATATTGACTCCACCATAAATAAGATCTTGCCGAAAGCTACCACGTTCACTTTGTCGGTACCATTTTCTCACTTACCGTGCACTCGCAATTCGCGTTTTAAGTTTTGACTCCACCATCAGTAAGATCTCGTCGGGGGTTACCACATTCCCTTTGTCGATACACAGTTCCGACGTCCCGTTCATTCGTAATTGCCATTTTGGTAGATTTCGCTAAAATCCCGGCATAAAATCGTATTCAACTTTTGGGTACTTCACATAGCTCGACCTTCTATTAGTGACACGAGAAAAGAGACCGCGATTCGCGCTGTAAGAAACTTTTGGGCGCCCAAAGTCGACTACCCCTCGAAGCGCGCCGCGCAAAAGGTGGTTTATTTCGCCCCTAGGAAACAAAAACAAAATTCCGCCACGCAGGAGTTGTGAGCGTTGACAAGATCTTCCCGACGACACCAATTTGAAAACAATCGGAGAAAAACTGTAGAAGAAGATAGATAAAAACTGAAAAATCTCCAGGTTAGTATAATACGCTCGGGGATGGCGTCCAGATGTCGTCGACTCCAAATCTTGTAGCCCCATCCCGAACGTTCTTAATTACATCGGCCCGAATAGTTACATGTACACTCCTTGTCTTTTTACAAAGCCCCCCCCAGGGGTTTTTCTACGGGCGAAAGCATTTACTGCCAGCCAGCCAGCCAGCCAGCCAGCCAGCGCAGCCAAAGTGAGATTAAAAGCTACTTTTTACAAAAAAAAATTTTTGCAAAAATGCGCTAAAAATTGATCTCGGGGATGTAGGATTTAGTTTCCATGGGAAATCGTACTTGACTTGAACTGCCAAAGGCGACTCGACAACAAATCATTTTTGATCGCCCGTTATTAATAGTTATTTACATAAAAGTCAAGGAAATGACATATTACTGGCGAGGAAATGTTGAAGTACGAGTCCCCTTTAAGGCCGAGTACTTCAATTTCCGAGTCAAGTAGTGTGATTTTACTGACGAGTTTTGTAGTAAATTTCACCCAAAATTGTATTTTAATATAAAATTTCAATTTTCATGTAGAACTTTTGATTAATGTCAGTCTGTCAGTGATGACATTACCAATGTGGCAGGTGCGGCCGGTAAAGTGACTGGCGGCAAGAAGGTCATGGAAACTAAAATGTTCTGACATAAAGGAGGCATGTAAATAAAGGTTTCATAAAATAAAATAATATAAATAAATAAATAATCAATCGATTTGGCTTTATTGAAAGGTGTTACTGTTAAAATTTCATTGGTCGGTACATAAATAAGAAAGTTAAACGTAAAAGTAGTATGAAAAATTAAACAGAAATTCCGCATCGGCCGGGAATCGAATTCAGGCCGCCCTCGTATCAGCTACGACGACTATAGCATCTTAATTTTAATAGATATGGATTAAGTGATCACTTTTACGGCAAAGGTAGATGAAGTCAAACAAATCCTTGTGCATTCTAATGACGTTTGTCAATCTTATTAAAAATGGGACGTAAGCAAAAATTAAAATGAAGTTTAGAACATAATACAATATTGTTTCCATGGAAATGACGAGAGAACCTAAGTTTCTATTCGGACGTCTAAATTAAATACCTTCTGAATTTTCAGAAGTTTTATAATGATTTCTATGGCTTTCGCTATAAAATAAAATTTTATATTATACACGAAGCTAACCATATTTCACTTGACCGTTAAAACACCCCTTTGTGGTCTTGTATAATAAATAACTATTAATGAAGTTGAGCCAAAATAAAAGAGCGTTATTAACGCCTTTTAAAGGATTATACGCGTAGATTCGTATTATCACGTCAGAATATTTGAACAATTCCTACCTACGCATTCTCTAAATGGTCTCGCTCGTTTCAATTACGTTCCCTAAGAATGACGGGTAAATTTGATAATTATGTTTAATGAAGTTGAGCATAACTGAAATTTAATAGCGCTTTTTAAGGGATGCTATACGTGTAGATTTACCATTAATCAGAACATTTGAACAATTCTCACCTCAATATAAATATCCACTAAACGTTCTCGCTCGTCCCCATTACGTTTCCCCAAGAAGAGCGGATAAATTTGAAAATTATCTTTAATGAATTTGAGTTTAAATGAAAGAAGTTTATTGACCCCTTTTAGAGAATCCCCTCCTATGCTGAACTTCAAAATTGCAAAGCGGTCACTCGTTACAGTATGCAGTTGGAGTCCCCCAATTGTGATTCCTTGTTTTCTAAAATATATAGTTATTTACATAAAAGTCAGGAAAATGACACATTCCTGGCGAGGAAATATTGAAGTACGAGGTCCCTGTGGGGTTGAGGTAATTTTATTTTACTGACGAGTTTTGTACTAAATTTTAGGATTCAGGAAATTTTGGGTAAAAGATATTTGATATCATATTACAGTGAGGAGATGAGTTTTTTTACTGCAACTACAAATACAAATTAAAATATTATATGTGTATCTTTGTAGTGAATGAACGAATGCGATGCCAAAGCGAGTTTTCCTGCAATTTCATTATCCGAAGCGGTTGCGTTGTTTACGGGTAACTGTACACCCTCTAAACCTAAAGTCTATACGTAGTCAATTAAACAGGTACATACTAGTTTTGTAAAACGTAATTTTAATGAATAACCATTATGATTTAAAGTCTAGTTTTAATCTATGGAGCTATTTAAAGGTGAATGTGTTTGCAATTCATCAAACAAACAGAAGAGTTCAAGGTATAAGCCCAGCGAATAGCTAGCTCAGGTTTTGATTATTTCAATTCTTGTCCATTTATGAAGTTGATGACGTCATTAATTTTATAATTTATAACAGTTAAAGTCATTTGTTACAGTAAATCCCAAAGAGTAGATTGTAATTAGGGGTAATAAAATATTTGTTTTATGGGGTTTTAACAATTTTATGGGGCTATTGTAATGGGTAGTCTATAATGGCCAATGAGCAACCCTGTATAACAATATGCTTGCTTGTACAACCTACAAACATAAGTAATTCAAGAAATAAAAACATTTAGTGTATCACAAAAGTTGCAACCCTCACAGTTTCGATCTAAAGGTGGA